TCTCAAATGGCACCTGGATGCTGGAAAATGAAGATAAGTATTCCCTGATCTTCAAATTTATTGGTTCTTTTGTTGCTGCTTCTCATTTGCTTATCTGTTTAAAGTTGATGATAGGCACGCCATCTTAGCCTTGGCTCAGCAGTTTTCTGTTTCCTCCTCTGCTGTGGGCCCTGTGTTTAAAAGAGCTGCCTGTCAGAGCACGGTGATTGATAATAAGAGCTGAGGGTTAAACAGTAGTCACTCTGCCCCCCCACTGCTCTTAGGTCTTTCCACACACTAGTGTGTTTAATCCTGCGAGGTGAGTCTTGGTGTTATTGCCATTTTAAAGGTGAGGAAACTGACACCAAGTTATACAAAAATAAAAGCTAGCTTCATTTATGCTTACTGTTTGTTAGGTACTATGCTGAGGGCTTTATCTATATTATCCACAGAACTGTCAACAACTTGGTAAGATATGGAGTAGTATTGTCGTTTTCACTACTGGTACCAGAAATGAGGGTGTGCATTGGAGACCATCTTCTTTGAGAATTTGTGCTTTAGTCAGCATATAATGCAAAATTATTGTCAAATTTCCCTTGAAAATCCCTTACATTGCCTACAGTGGCAGTTTGCAGACACAGAGACCCTCTATAAGTCCAACTGGGCTGTTCTTGGCCCACTAGAGTTGGAATAGAATTCAAGAATCAGCGACTACAGGCCCATGAGCCAACTTCTGTTTTTGTAAATAAAGTTTTATTAGAACATATCCATACCCATCCATTTATCAGTTTTCTGTGGCTACTTTGGAGCTACAAATGCAGAAGTGAGTAGTTGCAACATAGACCAACTGACCCACAGAACCTAAAATATTTACTATATAGCCCTTTAAGAAAAAGTTTGCTGACCCCAGGAATAAATCAGCGTTTCTATAGGTGAATTAACAGTGAAGAATTGGCTAGCTTTTGGGACATTTTACAAAAATACATGAGGACCATGTGATACATTCTTGGCCTAAGAGGCCATGTAGGGCCTGAGAGCATCCAAGGATGTGGCATGTTCCCTGAATCACAGTTCTTCTCAGGTGACTCCAGTGAGTTTTAAAAGTTCACTTTGTGGTGTGCTTTGTTTGTTTTTTAAAAAGCAATGTTTTATGTTAATAATGAGGAATATCCTAGTACATTGTCCTATCTTGATGCTTTAATTTTTTTATGTCCTTGAAAAACAGATCAACTTTCATCTCATATAAGTTTTTAAAATTACTTACTGCTTAGATAATTTCTGATAGGGTTTTTTTTTTTTTAAATCATAAACAGTAACCAGACTCAGCTATATTTGAATTATTTATTTAAAATACACTAAGTATAAATTAAGATTTCACAGATATCTGTCATTTCTGAAAATTCACACAACGTATCATTTCATCAGATGTTAGTATTGTTTTTCACTCCAAAAGATTGTATACTTAAAATGTTTGCCTTTTTCAAATCGATATTTATAAAACCATCATAGTTTTCAATATTTTAGTTTTACAGTGGTGGTTAAATTATTTTATATACTTTATTTTTAATCTTAATGATTAGTTTCCTAAAACTAAATTTTGGTCATAAACAACGATTTTTCCTTTGTCATAAACATTTCATAAATGAGAGTATTAAAATCTTTCCAGGCTTTAATATGTAGTACACTTGAGGGACTTCCCTGGTGGTCCAGTGGCTAAGACTCCGTGCTCCCAATGCAGGGGACCTGGGTTCGATCTCTGGTCCGGCAACTGGATCCCACGTGCATGCCGCAACTAAGAGTCCACATGCCACAACTAAGATCCTGCATGCTTCAACTAAGACCCAGTGCAGCCAAAATAAATGAATAAATATTAAAAAAATATGTAGTACACTTTAAACAATATCCAAAATAGACTGTTGTTTCTATCTTTAAGGAGGAAAAATATCAGTGTTGTTCACCTCACAGATATTTAAACATAAAAATTATACTTTAAGAATTTAGGGGCTTCCCTGCTGGCACAGTCGTTGAGAATCTGCCTGCCAATGCAGGGGACACGGGATCGAGCCCTGGTCTGGGAAGATCCCACATGCTGCGGAGCAACTAGGCCCGTGAGCCACACCTGCTGAGCCTGCGCATCTGGAGCCTGTGCTCCACAACAGGAGAGGCCGCGATAGTGAGAGGCCTGCACACCATGATGAAGAGTGGCCCCCACTTGCCGCAACTAGAGGAAGCCCTTGTACAGAAACAAAGACCCAACACAGCCAAAAATAAATAAATAAATAAATTTTAAAAAAATAAAGAATTTAGATTTCCAAACTTTTCTTAGTTAAGAAATAGCTATATGCATATTATATGTAATATTTATATCTAGAAATAAATATAATTACTGTTTTTAAAATAGTATACAGTTTATTCCTATCATCTAGAGTGGAAATGACATCAGTCTAAGTAAATTCTATTTTCTCTTCCCTGTTGTGGTGGTAAATAGTTGTCTCTGCAGTGAAAGTTGCTCAATACACCACAGTCACACACCTCATCCAAAGGGCCTTTTTGATTGTTTCAGTTTTTTCCTGTTAGAAAAATAGAATAATGTAATATTGAACATGGATTTACAGTCATGTGCGAACTTAACATTTAGCTTATTTACATGTGAAATAGTTGGAATAAATAACATTCTTGGATTTTATGAAAATCTTGGGGTGTTTTGGCAATTTTTTGGTACTGGCTGCCAAAGTGTTCACATATCTAAATAAATAATCAGCCTCTGACAGCTCTGGGGCCTTTCACTTGAAGGGGTCTCCAAGGCTACCGTGAAAATAAAAGGCACTCTCCACATTTGACCTTCTTCTCTAGATTTCAAAGCATTTATTATCATTAGCAGAAATAAATGACTGATTCACAAATGAACTTGTGATGACCAGTAACATTCTGAAAAAAGTGGAAGTCAGACATTCTGGTTTCGAATCATCACAACTCTCCCTTCCTTGTACTGTAGAATCCCAGAGAACTTCTTAAACTTTCTGTGCCTGGTTTTAGTTGTAAAATGGCACCTACCTCATAGGTAACGAGGACAAAAGGAGATAAAGTACCTTTCACATACTCAATTTATAAAAATCCATCTTTAAAAATGGCTTTCAGTTATTCAGCTTACTTAATAAATTGAATGTTTAGATTTTCTGTCTTACTGGCCGTCCCTGGCCCCCCTAGAGTGCTTTCTTTTAATACCCACTGTATAGTGGTCTGTCAACTCTTTCTATTATCTGTGGCCTCAACTGTCAATTTAAAGAGCTTTTATTAATTCCTAATAAGAAGCTTTTGACTGAAAATACATTGTTTTACTGCTTCAGGTAACTTTTCTTTGAACAGGATGTCTTAACCTGGGGATCCACAGAGAGGTTGTATTTCAGTGTAATTCATTTCCTTTGTAATTCTATGTATTTTATTTTATGCATTTATTTTTTTAAGGTTTTTTTTTTAAAGTGCATTCTTTTAAAAAAATTATATTTTGGCTGCGTTGGGTCTTCGTTGCTGTGCGTGAGCTTTCTCTAGTTGTGGCGAGCGGGGGCTACTCTTCGTTGTGGTGTGTGGGCTTCTCATTGCGGTGGCTTCTCTTGTTGCGGAGCGTGGGCTCTAAGGCATGCTGCCTTCAGTAGTTGTGGCACGTGGGCTCAGTAGTTGTGGCTCGCGGGCTCTAGAGCACAGGCTCAGTAGTTGTGGCGCACGGGCTTAGTTGCTTCGTGGCATGTGGGATCTTCCCAGAGCAGGGCTTGAACCCGTGTCCCCCTGCATTGGCAGGCGGATCTTTAACCACTGTGCCACCAGGGAAGTCCCTTTTTTTAAGGCTTTCATTTGTTTTTATTAAGTCAGTGCCCAATTTATACTATTTTATGCATTTAAAAGCACTATCTCCACAGGCTTTACTTGACTATCAAAGTGGTTCATGGTACTAAAAAATTAAAAAGTTACAAATCCCTAATGGAAGAAGTCCCATTTTAGTAGAATATGGTAAAGCCATGGTTTTTGGACTACTAAGAGAAGTCATCTCTGTAAGATAACTCACGGCTATTGGATCCCACTAGAAATGACTCACCTATCAACAGGTAGGGCTGGTCCCCCCAACTTCAGAAAATTGAATAGTTCTCACCTTGGTTTTAGCTTCTTGACTTCTCCGTTTCTAGAAGCTTTGCAGGAAAAAAAATAGCCACCGTTCTTCTAATATACAGAGAATCTTCTCTGATACAATCAGAGGTAGCCATGTATGGTGGAAGGGACATAAGTATTGAAATCATTGTGATTTGTGTTTAATCTTTCCAAGTTGCTGATTCTTCATCTATGATGTGGAAATTATAATATGCACATTACTGTGTTGAGGAAGGATTAAAGGAAAAAACTATGGACAGGGACTTCCCTGGGCACAGTGGTTAAGAATGCACCTGCCAATGCAGGGGACACGGGTTTGAGCCCTGGTCCGGGAAGATCCCACATGCTGTGGAGCAATTAAGCCCGTGCACCACAGCTACTGAAGCCCACGCACCTAGAGCCCATTCTCCACAATGAAGAGAAGCCCCCGCTTGCTGCAACTAGAGAAAGCCCACATGCAGCAATGAAGACCCAACACAGCTGAAAAAAACTATGGACAGCACACAGCACACAGTGTCTGGTGTGCTGTGGTTACTGTATGGGCGTTAGTTTCTTTACTTACACTGAGAATCCAAAATGAACATTAAGTGAACTTAGAGCTGAGTCAGGGTAGAGGGCTGTGGAGCGTGGTGGAATTGAGAAATGTGGTTACTTTTCTTTTTAGAATCAGGTTGAGTGGGGAAAATTTCCTGAAAGAGATAGACTCTTTGGCAGAAAGAAAAGTAGGTTGCAGAATTTAGTTGCAGAATAGTGTGTGAGTAAAATACAGACCGGAGAGTTGGAAAATTGAATTTAAAGTCTAGGCTTTGTGGAGACGAATGAATAAAGGGGAGTGTACATGTCACTGAACTCATGCTTTTCCTTAAGTTATCTGTTTTCAGAGCAGTGGAATTTTTCATCAGAGATAAATATGAAAAGAAGAAATACTACGATAAAAATGCTATAGCTATTACAAATGTAAGTAAAATCTTCATCTCTATTGCCAATTGATGCTCGTTGAGTAGATCTGGAACTTTTAACATACGATACAGCTCTGTTTATTTATTGTAAAAATGTGCTAGTTACATACTTTAAAATTTTCAATATTGGAAGTTTTTGTCACATAATGTTAATGAGCTTTCACAAAGCAGATCCCTTGATTCAGAAAGGAGCATATTCTATGTAAGAGTCTAATAACTGCTTAAATGGCATTTAATTAATTTTATGAAATTTGCAAAAAGATAAAGTCACTAATTGAAAAATGGAGGAGAGATAATTATTTTTACTAGATTCGGGAAATGAACGAAAAAGGAAAATCTGTCTTCTTTTAAGGGCTTTGGTGGATCTGTCCAGATATAAGTTTATTAAAACATGGCCTTTTAATTGCTTATTATCAAGTATTATCAAGTAATAGTTGAGACCTTACTGTAGTGATCCAAATATGTTATAGCACTGATCCTTTTTAAGTTTTTCTTTCTGATTAAATTTTCCTATCCCAGTTAAATGCTGTTTAAGGCTAATTATCTTTAGTGCTGCAGTCATTTTTTAAGTCTTTGATTCCTAGATTAATAATAAAGCTATAAGCCAGTTGATTGTGTGGCTAATTCATCTGTCACGCAATTTAGAGACAATAATTTCCTCTCATTTTGCATATAAGCGGTTTTCCTTTTCAGTCCATATGGAGAAGCAGTATACTAAAAAACTCAACCAAATAATAACAAAGTAAGGATATTGTAATACATGGTCTCTGACCATTAAAAAAAAATCTTTTAAAACAATGTTTAAAGTATGAGTAATGTATATTTTGGAGCAAAGATACCCTTGATAGAGTGTAGGCTGCATTTACAGTGGGTGTAGGAGAGGAAATCTGTTGAAAGATCAGTAAAAATTGACAATATTGAGTGCTGCTTATCACATCCATGAAATTAAGTTTACTTACAGCATTGTGGGGGAAAAAGGACAAACTTTAAAGCATAAGTAATACATTTTCATATGAAATTTTAAGAAATCATTTTAAAATACAGGGTGTGTAAAGCAGGGGTGGGAATTTTGGTGGCCACCTTAGAATTCTCCTGCCACGGGGATGCAGAATGAGTCTGCCCTCCTTGGTATTCCTTAATGAATGAGTGATAGGGGACATTTGAAAAACTGAGTACAGAAATTGTCCTGTCTGTCCGCCCCTCACTCTCCGTAAGTAGTGGTGCAACACAGCTGGCAACGCTGATCAGGTGAGTTCTTAGGAGATCTAGCAGGTGTCGAGCAGATGAGGTTGAGCTCTGCCATGTTGTTTGCCCTTTTCCAGCAGCAACTTTTCTCTGTTCCCCTCTTCCCCCTCGCTCTTCCTCTTCTTCCCTCTCCCCCGCCTCTTCTTTCCCTCCCCACCACCCCCTCGCTTCCCCCACCACATACTTCCATCCTCACATGATTCATTTGCTATTATAATCATCAAAAAGAAAATCTGTTGCACCAGGAAAATGTATAGGTAACCCTAACTATTTAATCCTTACCCCTGACTGGCTCAGTTTTGTCTTGGAAAAACAGCTAATAGTTGTTGGGAGTTGGTAGCTTTAAAATGAGCACTCACTTGTTCTTGTTTCAGTTTATCTTACATATTTCTTGCCTCCTTTGCCACTTCTCATCCCTCACAAGTAACCTCTTGAACTCGGTTTGAGTACATGCTTGAGTTTGCATCACGCAAAGGTTTTAATTCTCCAGTCTGAATTTCACATGAAATTACTATTCCAATCAGTTGCCATATAATTGAGTATTATATAAAAGTTTAAAAACAGGAAAACTTTCACTTATTTTGTTTTATATGTGTGTATCTGTATATGTATATACACACATATATGTATAAAGACTAGTATTTAGTACAACAAAAGTAAAATTAAATCTGTTATTTCAACTTAGAAATTGTGGAAACAATGTTTCTGTACTGTATTATAATAAAAGAGCTAGCACTAGTAATTTCATTAAGCTCTGTTTACAGTTAACTGGTGATTATATAATTCATTAAGATAAATGAGCAGTAATTTTAAGACAGTGTGAATTGCAATAAATTTTAAGATGTCCTTCCTGATAGGGATGAGAAACTTAGACGGTGAATGATCAGGTGGTGATTTAAGATTACCCTGAAATAGCAGTTTCAAGTTGGGCTTTTGTTGTTGTTGTTACTTCTTCTTGTTACAATTTTAGTTTCCTCTTCTGTGGAATAGGGATGATCACGGTATCTACTTTTGATAGTATTCTTACGGGAGTTAAATAAGGTAGGGCCCTCTGCATTTCTGTTGCGTGCCTGGCACATGAGCGCTTAATACACAGGAGCTCCTGGGAGGAGCGCCTGGCAGGGAGGGAGGGGCGCCTGGTGGGGAGGGAGGGGGGCAGGAGCAAAAGGGCCCAAGCGCAGGGGCGGGTGGGGCTAGAAACCGCCAGGCTCACATGCCGCCCAGAGGCTGTATCTCATTGGCACCACTGACTTGAGTTCTGTCGGATTAATACTGCCACATTTCAGTCAGCCCTTTTTAAATTATGGGCTGCCAGGCGACTGATGTGGCAGTTATAGGACTTCTATTTGAAATTTCTCCAGAATTCTGCGTTTCTTAGTGACTTATCCAATGATTTTAAAGTTAGCATATTAAAATTCAGGCTTGTTCTACATATCTGGTGGCTATGGTTACTTAGTTAAGCTTGTCAAAAAGTCTTAACTCTCCTACTGATGAGTTTAATTAATGGTTTCTTTTGTATGACTTTAGTTCAGTAAATGTATTTTCAGCTTTTGTACCTAACACATACCATGGAAGGTAATTTGCTTTGGAAACTATATTTTTAAAATGATTTCTCAACTCCTGAAAAAGTAAAGCTTCACAGTGTATTGAAAGGTCATGAGACAGCCCATTTGAAAACTGCTGTGACCAAATCTTCACTTGGAAAATATATTTAAGAATTTCCAAAATGGGTTTGAAGTGATGTATTGCTTACAGTTAATCCATAAGGTATTTTTCAGCATTTTGAAGCACCAGATTTTTATTATAATATTATTCTGTCAAAAAGGGTGAAAGAGTAAAAAGAAAAAATCATCAAGAAAGTAATGTGATCTTTTCTTGAAAAGATAGATGAGCATTTTGCCTTACTACCTTCAACTAATCGTACTGGTATTTTTAGAATACTTGATACTATTTCACCTTATCCTGGAACGTGGTAGTTGGAAACCTATTTTACCAGGTCAGTTTTCCTTCTGCAGTAGGTGCGTTTGTACACTTGGATTGCTCTGGGAGTTTCTTCGGTGGTGGCCTAGAGAAGAACCTCTGGTCTTAAGAATAATTGAAGGGAGGACGTTAGCTCCTATTCCCGAAGGAGATCTTTACTGGGTTCCCACTGCGTGTTCTCTCATGGCTGGGGGTGGGGGAGAGAAGGGTGGGGAATAGAGGGACAGTCAAGCATGACTACTGCCTTTGCCAGCGCCACCAATTCCCAGCGCCATTTTCAAGGTCAAAGTCTTGTCCCCTCTCTCTATATAAAGTACTGGAATCCAGTGAAATGGAATTATCATCTAGTTACAAAATAAATTCTGAATTTGACAGTGTATTGGGTTGGCCAAAAAGTGCCTTCAGTTTTTAAGTAAAAGTAAAAGACACATTTTTCATTTTCACCAAGAACTTTATTGAACAACGTATTCACCCTCCTGTTCCACTACCTTCTGCCATTTTTCAGGCAACTTCATAATTCCATCTTCTCAAAACTTTTTATCTTTTTGAGCAAAGAACTGTTCCACATGCCTTTTACAGTCTTCCAGGGAATTGATTTTTTCCATTAAGAGAATTTTGTAAAGACCGAAATAAATGGAAATCCGAAGGTTCAATGTCTGGTGAATACAGCGGATGAATCAGAACTTCCTAGCCAAGCTGTAACAGTTTTTTTTTTTTTTTTTTT